CCTACCTACCTACCTACCTACCTACCTACCTACCTACCTATTCATCCATCCTTTCTCCCCCCCCCCTTTTCAAATGGCTCTCAGAAATAGAATAGTGTTTAAAGCAAAAGTATTTTTAAATGGAATAGTGTTAAAAGGATTTGTTTTTACAGACACTTCATTTTTATTGATCAGTAACTTTCAAATTGCTGATGCATAGGTTTCTTAAAGTCATTGTAAAATAACAATTCTGTAACCTAAGGTATTCAGGATTAAAATTACATAGTGTTACATATTCCCTTCACTTTCCCGACTTATGAATTTCCTGTGGCAGGTTTTAATTTCCTCTGAAAGTTCTGAATACCCAAGATTACTTTAAAAGATTTGTTTAATGTTAAAAGATACATGCAAGCCATACTGGAGGCCAGTAGCATAGCTTTTAATCTTGCATCAGATCCCAAGAAAAAACAGTTATTCCCCAAAGACATTGCAACAAATGGTCAGTTCACGATCTCTTTCCTATCCCTACCTCACTTCAAAAAACAAATCTGGCTCACTGTGCTCCTCTACACCCTCCTACCAGCTGAAGATACCAGTTTTCTGTGAAGGTGTTACTTTCCCAATGCTGGAAGAGATTCCCAACTTATCAAAGCATATTCATGTTATATTACAGTGATTGTGCAAAACCGAAGTGACAATGAGAGGTTAATCCTCCTTCACAACTCTCCATTTTAAATATATTATGATTTAAGGATACAGCACAGTATTCTAAAAGACAATGTTGTGTGAAGTAATTTTAGCCAAATCAGGGGCAATGAAATTTGTGTTTGTGCAAAGGTGTGCACTTGTGGGTACTGACACACTTGTATTGATTTGTGTTTTACAGTCATTTTATGACTGAACCAAATGCTCCGAATTCCTTTTAGCAGTACACTCAGGATCAACAATGTGAAATAAATGTTCAAACCTTTGTGTTCATTCTGTGTTCTGTCTTGTTTGCTCTTCTCCTCACCCTTTTTGACAAAGCCTTCTATTTTGCCAGTGACTACTGGTGCTAATCTTTGCAGTCATTGATATTGTCTTCTGCATTATTCTGTCATGAGTAATGCTTTCTACATGGCATTGAAAGTAAATCATTTTTAATTTGAAAGATGGAAATAAATTAAAACAATACTGATTTTAAAAATACTGACGCTAATACCGTTTGTTTTTTTTTAAATCTTGTTTCAGAGAATATAGAAGTAGATTCACCAGTGAAGAAACCCTCATGTTCTGCATGAGAGTAATGGTTGGTGTAATTATTCTCTACGACCACGTTCATCCTGTGGGGGCTTTCTCAAAGGCTTCAAAGATAGATGTAAGGATAATGACTGGCAAGGTCTTCTTTTCCTCAGCAAAAGGTCATAGGTCTTGTGGAAGTAGACACTTAAACCGTCTTCAGTCGTGGTTTAATGCATACCATATTTGTATGGTAGGAGGGAAATCTTTATTTGGGTGTTTACTCTTAATAATACTTAATTGAAATCTCTATGCTGACATACAGGATTGCAAGAATTTCAAAGCAGTTTGCAGCACTCAATAAAACATGGTGAAATGTTGTGTTAACACACAAGTAGTAGAAACTTGGAAAATTGCTAGTATCCCCTACCATGGGAAAATAATTTTCAATAATTTCCTAAAGACAACCTGTGTCTTATCCAAATGTTAACATTTTAGATAATTAATTACTGAATATAAAACTCAGTGCAATAATATTACAATAAAAGCAAACAATAAAATTTAGCAGCTATAAAACCCAGCCAAGCTATATCAGAATCGTGTTTAAATGCCTTGAGTTAAAAGGATTACAGGACCAGTGCAGTCCCCCCAAATGGCAGTTGCTGTTCTCAGATTTACAATTTAAAATGTTACAGCACAGAAAGAAATGGGGATGGAAAAGGTAAACTAGCTGACTCAGGCACTTCAATGTTCTGTGGTACTTATAAAGTGGATTGGCCCAAAAGGCCCAGTTGATACCTTCAGAACATATAGTTCTGTTGCTTTTCCTTGTAGAGCATTTGGCCTTCACGTACTCTTTGGGATGGGAGGCAAGTCCCCAGTTCTGTTAGTAACTTCAGCAGCTAATGAAGATAATAGTTTGTCACTTGCTACTGTGGCTGCTGCTTTTTCTCTCCTCATGGTGGAAGATCCCACCCCAGCTGATAAGAGGAGCCATCAGCTATTGGAGCCCAAGGCTGTGCTATAAATGTAAGGTTCAGAATTTACAGCCAGCATTTTAAAAAGGGTTTATCAAATCTCTACTATATGGGGACGAGGGTAAAATTAGGAGCACCTCCCAGTGCAACATTTTCTTTGTCCCACTTTTCTTTCTATATTGCTAACATTTCAAATGTGTATGCATGCCTCTGTCTCCACCATTCAGATATCTGTTTCTCTCAAAGCAATATTGAGATTAAGCTGTAGGTAACCCCCCATTGCAGAAGCTGAAGGCAAGAGGTCTGGAAGATACTGGTGGTGGTGTTCCTTAGATAAAAGTACTTATAGCTCCTTTGGGTGGAATCATTTATGGAGTTTCAGCTCTGATTAATAGCTCTAAATAGCATTCAAAACTATGTGAAGACTTTGAGGCATGGATTCAAGGAGATAATGTAATTGTATTTATAAAAATTGTTATCTTGTTGGAAAATATGTGAAATGCTTTGCATAATCAAAGTATAATTTGCTGAGAGAGGCCTATTTCAGGAAGACTTGATTTGAAGGCAGCAAGGCTCTCTGTGTACGGTAGACATTATTTCCTAACTTTTCCTGCCACATAAGACAGGCAGAGGAGGTCTTGTTCTTTTGGAAAAATACTCAAGGAAAGCACACCATTCTGACAGAATTCAGTGTTTTTCATTCCATACCTTTGGGTATTTTGCATGCATCCAAATTCAGGTTTTGTTCTTGCACATTTCTTTTTTCACAGATGAAAGGTTGCATAAAGGTTTTAAGAGAACAGCCACCAGACACTGTTGAAGGGCTTTTGAATGCTCTCAGGTATCTCCTGGACCAACCATTTTTATTTTTATAGACATAATGCATGATTTTCCCCTTCCCTTCTATGTACTAATACTAATTGCAAAACTGTAGCCCACCCAGGAATGAGTTCAGCCCTCACATTGGGTTATGTTCACCACCTGAAGAGGCTGCTGGGAAAGATTCCCTTTCTCGTTTTAAATGGGAGGGGAGGAAGGAGGAGGAGGAGGAGAAAGATAAAATGAAGAGAGCTCACTGGGGCCACTTTTCTTCCCCATCTTGAATTTGACACATGTAAAAATATTTTAGAAACTGGCACTTGCTTCATTAGAGGAAAGCTTGTTGTGGTCAAAAGTGTCAGGAGTTTCCCATACAGCTATGACCTTATTTCACCCATGTTGCACTTTCTTCCATTGTGGAAGGTGTAAATTGGCTGAAGCAGAATCCTGTCTTCCGTATTCCAGGTGCATTCAGTTCTCCATCCCTGTAAAGGACAGGCATGAGCTGCATGCTGGCTCAGAACAATTACTCATTGCACAGGACCTTCAGGCTTTAAAACATCAGTTATGGAGAACTGTGGTTGACTATTTAGGTATATTGCAGTCAAGACAGTGGGTCTAAGGTTGCAAAGAAATGAGTCTGCAGAGAGAAGCATGGAAGGAGGGAAACAAGGAGAAGGCTGGAGAAAAATGGGGAAAGTAGGTGTGCTTGCAGTATACAATATCTGCATTAGAGAAGCAATACCACAAGTTCATTTCTAGTGTAAGTTTATAGTAAAAACAGCAAGCCACGTTTCAGTCCATGAAGTTCATACGACTTCTCATTACATGCTCGTATTGCATATGTGATAGTCTAATGAGAGGATAATGGTGGGGTGATGTTGTTATTTATTTTGTAAGTCTATACTTCTTGTTTCTATATTGACCAGTTTTAATCCTGTGCCTTTCAGTGCATTTGGTATCAGTTATCGGTTACTCCCAAGATGATCTTGGAGGAATGTATTATATACTGTAATTAAGGCTGAAAGCCATACATATTGTATCTGGGAGCCAGCTCTGTTGAACACAGTAGTACTTCTCTGAAGAAATGGGTAGGATTGCACTTCCCCATGGAAGTAATTCCGGTTCCTGTTCTAAGGGCAGCCTTTTGATTGTGTCTTTGTCACTTCTAGGTTCACCACAAAACACCTGAATGATGAATCCACTTCAAAGCAAGTTCGAGCTATGCTTCAGTAATGCCCACCTTTGAGAAATGGACTTTTAAATTATTTAGAGAAGGTGTTTGTTTACATAATTTAATAGTTTGTGGTGGTGTTAGTAAATATGCATAATTTACATGATATAACAATTGATTTCTTCCTGTTGCTGCAGTGTGTGGATTTGTATCAATAACATGACTGACTTCGTAATGCACGACATCCATTTATGTGCTTGTATTACCATTCAAAAAGTTTAAGAGGTACCTTTTAATTTGAATATATAAATAATGAAAGTGTCTACGTGCCTTTGTTTTTTGTTATGTTAGGGGGTTACATTTTGGGGGGGTGTTTTTTGTGGATGTATGCAGAGTAACTCTTTGGGGTAATCTCTAAACAGTCATAACTCTTGACTGTGTGCCTGTGAAGACCTTGGTGCAAAACCCTCCAGGGGTCTCCACGTTCCCTTAACTTTTGCAACACCAAGTGCATGTGTAGTGTGAAACAAGGAGGGTGTTCCAGTTGGCCAGATCTTTCTGAGACTGGTAGGCTCCTTTTCTAACAGATTTAGCAGGGTTTGCACCAAGGCCTGCACGTGTATATACAATAATTTTGTTAAGTTTTTAAATTTATATGCGTAACGCTTGCATTGTGCCTTTGGGCAGTTAAGTGAGATATGAATTATGGATGTAAACCAATACCAGCCCAGTTTTGATGTACAACTTCAGCTTATTAAGCCAAGATAGGATTTGTGTAAGACTTGTACCCTTGCATTCTCTCATTATGCTATCTTCTCTTTCTTTCCTTGTAAGCCATAATCAGTGCTTCATGAATTAATTAGCCATGGTTTCCTACTATGTCCAAACCTGGAAATTTTATTCATGGTATCAGAACAAGCCCCAATCTTATAACAGACTTCCAACTAGAGAGAAGGAGCAGTGCAAGGACATATAAGCAGCACAAGGCTTATGCATCTCTTGACTCCGTAACCCAAGAGATAGGTACATTCAGACCAGGCCAGAACGTAAGACTGTGCAGAAACCTAATGAGAGGCAATACTGTTATATATAGTATCGCCTGTGTTTGTAGGCTTATGACCATACCAACAGCACTGAGTAGCTTTGTGGTATAAGGCACTTTCTTGCTTTCTTCTTCATACTTCTCTCTGCTCTTGAAAGATTGAAACATGACCTACCACAGTTATTCCTTAATCATGCACAGCATCTTGGAATTGATATTTGTGCCATTTTTTTATTTAGGCCTTTCTTAATGCCTAGCTCTTCCTTTGTACTAAATTCACTAGGAAACTAGGGGGGGAAAGGCTCTAAGATGCTTTTATTTTTGACACCATTTTAAAAAATGTATTTAATAGGTGTTTCACAACTCAAGCAACTTGAAGTTGTAGTTCAGCTGTCTCTATTAACTGTGTTGTGCATTCTAATGCTGAATGTAAGAGTGGCTCAGCAGAGCCACATTGTAAGTTTTTTTATATAAAAAAATAAGTAATTTTATTTGGGGCATTGGAAGGGAACTTAAGTAGAAAGAGATTATCTCATGGGAACCTTGTTTGGCTGACTGCATGGCATGATTAACCTTTAATATACCTGTTCCTAGGAATACAACTTGTAAAATTAACATTTCTGCCTTTTCTGAGCAACAACCATATCTGATCTCTCTTTGCTGACATTGCTGGAGGTTGTTATGGTTATCTCCTTTCACAGATTCCACCTATATATAATAGAAAGAAATACTTCTGAAAAATAAATGTGAGTTTACACTCCGTGGGCCCAAAGTCAGGCTATCTAAACAATAGTCAGTAGTTTTTATAGACACTGCAGTTGCTGCCAATTTCCCATTTTCTTAGAAGATTTTATGTTACCCAACACTACTGACTTGGGAATGCAGCTCTTGGTACTCACAGATCTCCTTAAGTTCAGAAACATAGTGCAGATTGTGTAACTCAAAACGCTTGGCATGGCATTGTCTTGATTTTTCCATATTAATCACTTTCAGCTAGTTAGTATCTTTAATGCGACGCTGGAATCTTCATGGAGCTGCATTTGTTTTCATTCATACTGGGGTCCTTAGCTAAGGAACAATGAACTTTGTGCCTGTTCCTCTTTTGACTCTTCTAAATGATGAGTGCAGCTGTGAGATGCTTAGCTTGTAAGATTTCTGAGAAAACATGCTAACTTTGTATATGGAATATGGTATTCATATATTTAAATTTGCTGATTTAAATGTGTGTCTAACTTTGAGTTTGTGCAGATCAGCTAGAATAAATATTTGTATGTTTGTAGAAACTTGGGCCCCTCAAAAAGTTAGGAGATAAAAGGGCCTATATTGGAAACATCATTTTCTTGCTGCAAATTTAGAAATCGGGTATTTAAGAGCAGTCCCAGTGATGTTGGCTTGACCTCATAAGGTTATGCTATTTAGGATTCCAGACTTTTAGGCCTTGTTGGAAGTTAAGACAGGTGGAAACTCTCTCTTTTTATATCACTTGTTGGATATAGAAGTTTGTTGTGTGGATCTGAAATCACCACCATTGCCACTTCATGATGCTAGGCAGGCAGTTCTTAAATGAAGAATCCCAGAGTTTTGGCTTCAAGTGTTGCTGAACTACATCTTGCAGTAGGTCCAGCCAGCTTGGCCAAAATAATATCAAGAGATTTTATCTCATCACCACTCTAGCTCTGAATGTACTCCATTTCCCATCTACTTATTTTTAGGAGGAAAATAGACACTTGTAGCAGTGAGTCCTTGAGCATATACAGTTTTCCCCCCTCTCTCTTTGTGGTTGTTTGGATTTGACAGTTTTATCACAAAGTAATTTTATTTAGGTTTCAGAACTCTAGAAAACATTGCACATTTTATTACAAAATATAGCTTGATGAAATATTATTTTCTCTTATTGTGCAATCAAGCTAATATATTGAAATATGTATATTCATACAGAAAACAACCTAGAACAGTATGATTAAAATAAATTCAGTTAGAAATATTGCTTGATGCATTAAATCAAACCGTTGTTTCTCATCACCCTTCCTCCTCCTGTTCATACACACACACGTGTATGCACACACATGTGCTATGCAGGGAGCTTTTATTCATTTTCAGCCAGTTCTGCCTATGCTAGAAACAACTAGCAAATGACCTGTCCTGGCTTTTTGTTTGATAGCAATAAAAAATTCTTGCCTGATCACTGCAGAACTGTCTCTTAACAACTATTCACAGAAGAGCCTGCTGCTTTCAGCACATGAAAACCCACTAACAATCTCTCTGTTCTGTGGCAGTAAAAGATGCTGGGGATTAACTTTCAGCAGCATGTGGAGGGCCAAGGGTTCACCACCTTTGGTTTAGAAGGACAAGTCTTCCGGATGGTTATTTTTACATAGAGATAATCCAGACACCGCTGAGAGGGTACACTGTTGCAATGCATGATTCTCCATGAAGTGACCCTTGCTTCTTAAGGCAAATGCTTGGTGTACTTCATAATGCATCAAAGACTGAGTTGTTCATCTCTTGCCTCTTCCTCCATTTTAGACAGACAATCCCTCTTTTCCTATTTTCCTTGTGTTGTATGTATAGGTAAAGGAGGTCACTATCACACCATCTATTGCATCATCTCTCTTGTGTTCAGAGTGATTTTGTTGTATTCACATGGAACTGGTTACCCCCAGAGCTTGATCAAGAAGAGGAGATGGT